AACGCCGGTCCCCAGGGTGATTTAAATGTTTAAACCACTGGTCCGCAATGTGTTAAGAATGAAAATATGAGTGTTGGTATGCTACATCAAGAAAGTAGACTGTATTATATTTATTCAAGTTCACCTTGTCTTAAAGTGAACCCATATAAAGAAAAATTCTTATTTCTATTGTTTTGTCTGTATCCACGTTCTGTTCACAGGATCCAGAAAAAAGTAAAGCACAGATGGGTAGCTGTAAAGATTTCAACATTATTACTCTAAATGATAATTCAGTTCAAGACATCATTTCCAAAGTGCAAACAAATGGTCTATTGGAAATAGGGTTAACAATTTTATATCGGTAAGATTGGTTTTATAAATTCATATTGTTACAGAAAAGTTAAGATCTGGATAAGGCTTTAAAACAGAATGGAGTTCATGTTGAGCTTGTTAAAGACTGAGTTATTTTCCTTGTTAGAATTGGCAAAATACCGTATTTACTCATGTATAGGCCGCACATTTTTTGCCAAAAATTCAAGAGGAAAACTGGAGTGCGGCTTGTATTCGAAGTATTCGAAATCACACTTCATTTAAAAAAAATTATATTCATTATTAGTAATACAGGGTGTTCTACTCCTGAAATAATATTCCAAAAAAAAATATTTTTTCTATAATTTCTGTCTGAAAATTGTGCTGCGGCCTATACATGCGTAAATACGGTACTTACTGATGGACCAAGCAGGTTACTTCTGCTGTAACTGCTGGTATAAGTTCAGAATGTGCCTCACAGACAAAGAGTTTTTAAAAAATCTAATCAAATTTCAAATATTTTCCCCACAGGATGTGGTTCTTTTGCAGTGACACACTTTTGATAACAGCTGACACTTCTGAACTCTCTTCCATTTGGCTGCTTCCCACTTTGAGGGTGCAAAGAAATTCGCTTGATGAATGGGAAGCAGTGGACTGTTATTCTCTATCAATAATTCTCTTATGGAGAATGATGAATGAGCTTGAGTATTAACATAATGCTTTGTCTACAAACCCTACATCATTTTTCAGACCATACTTTGAACGCCATCTGTTCAGATGTCTCAAAACACCTGAATGAAAGTTATGGCATTTGGTTCCTTAATGTCCAAAAACAATTTCCTAACAATGATAATGCACCATTGTCAACTAATTTTTTAGTTTAGAACCACTTAATGCATACATGTTGTGCTGGAATGTAAGCCATTTCAAGTTCACTAACTAGATTGGAAGAGAATATTCATTTGTTTGACAGAAGAAGCATAACGGTATTAGAATACAGGAAGAACATTAGAACTTTATGTGAATGAATAAGTGAGTGGCAGTAGCAGCAGCAACATTTGTATTTCTTTTCATTCAGTTTTATTTGAAATCATATTTTGAATTTTAATTATGTTCTTAATTTAAAATATTTGGGGCAAAAGTTGAGCCTTAACATTAATAGTACAGATATCTGTTCTTGTCTTCTCAATGAGAACCGAAGCATTTTCTGTTTATGTAACCACACCCATGTCCCCCCCCCCTTTTTAATAATATATGTGAATCTGCTGTTATATTTGGACATGCCATTAGCTTAAAAATTTGGTCAAAAAAATTTTAATTCAAAGATGTCCTTAATTTTAAATATTGAACTGATATTGCATAATTTAATTGCCTTTATTGTCATAGAATTTCTGTATGTTTTGTTTAATAATGTGTCTCCAGGGAAGGCTTCAGCCAGTTGAATAAACCCAGTGAATTCTCAGTGTTTGGCCACTGTACTCCTATGGGGCTCATGTTGGCTCTTACAGTGCAGCCAGGCTACACAGATTTTTGCTACTTCAGTGTCAGCGACAATCACTGGAAAAATAAAAATACACCACAGTAAGTACTGAAGGGGTTAGTCTAGCAGTATTGGTGTAGACTTGTATTTGGGAGGTGATACACATAGGTTTGTATCTCAACTGGGACAGCAGTTATCCTGACAGGTTTTTGCATGTTTTTCCTCATTCCTTACATTCATCTTCCAGGATAGGCCATTCCAAATTCACTCTAGATCCTTTTCAGTTAATTATTCATCAGTCATCCTACCATTCAGCATTGTATAATCTAGATACTGACAGTTGTTACAATAAACCACTGTCTCCCCCCCCCCCAAAACCACAGTAAATGCTTTAATTAAAATTAAAAGTACATTTAAGCTAGAAACGCAAATGTCATGCATTAAGTTTAGTCTGTATCAGGTAATAATTTGGGCCAGAAAATTGCATGGCTCCCAGAGTTGTGAAAGAGTAAAAATGGTCACTAGTCCTGTGGAACTCAGACCCGGGAGTGACTGTGCTTGTTGAAGCCCAGCAGCAATTTACCCTACTGGCCAAATAATAATTTGAGGTGTTTGTCCATCCATCACACATCTTTATAGCACATGGGTTTAGAGTTAAAATATGAAATTCAGATTATGATCTTGTTGGTTCTGACATCATGTAGTCTTAGAAGTGGATACCAGTACTTTGGAGGAACATTCTGTCAATCCTGAAAATGGAAGCAGAACTTTCCTCTGGAATGTTACTCTCCACCTCCATGTGGTGTCAGAATTCAGAAGAACACTGCTGTGAAAACCTGAAAATTTGAATTATGATCTGAAAGTTACACACTTGCATGCGCACACATTTTGGAGTGCATGCATGTGTCCCAGACTACAAACTGAAATCTGATGCAAGGTAACTTACACAGGAAACCGGTATGTTTCAGAACCTTTATATCATTGCTGTTGAATGGACGTTGTAGGAAGCTGTGTTATGATGCACAAGAACTGATCATGTTCCTAGTTGACAAGTATGGCTTTGAGGCTGATCAAGGTGAATAACATAAACAAGCATATTTACATAGAACAGGATAATTATTACAGGTAGAGAGACAAAAGAAGATACAGTAAGGCCTTCATAAAGGAACATTAGAGAGTACTGAAATTTTTAAATTTCACTTTAAGGAAACTATTTGAGCTTCAAAAATAGTATTATTTTATTAAATTTACATATATATTCAGATATTTTATTTGTACTTTATACGAGTAATGCAGTTGTTTTATGTATTTATTGGATTATTTAATGATACTGTCTTAACTGCCATGCTTATTTAGTGTCATTAAGATACAGTAGGATTATTGTGTCCAAAAACATTAAAATTGGAATATACAAAACTATAATTTTGCCTGTGGCTCTGTATGGGTGTGAAACTTGGTCTCTGACATTAAGGGAAGAACATAGACTGACAGTGTTTGAGAACAGGATGTTGAGGAGAATATTTGGACCAAAGTGAGATGAAGTGACAGGAGGTTGGAGAAAACTGCATAATGAGGAGCTTCATAATTTATACTGTTGTCCAAGTATAATTAAAATGATCAAGTCAAGGAGGATGGGGTGGGCAGGGCATGTAGCATGGATGGGAGAGAAAAGGAATGCATATAGGATATTGGTGGGAAAGCCAGAAGGAAAGAGACCACTGGGAAGACCAAGGCATAGGTGGGTGAACAATATTAAAATGGATCTTAGAGAGATTAGATGGGCTGGTATGGATTTGATTGATCTGGCTGAGGATAGGGACCAGTGGAGGGCTCTTGTGTACACAGTGATGAACCTTCAGGTTCCATAAAATGCTGGGAAATTCTTGAGCAGCTGCAGAATTGGCAGCTCCTCAAGAAGGGCTCAACTCCATGAGTAAGTAAGTAAGTGTGTATGGTGATTCAGAGGAAAAATGGAAGGAAATGAGTCTAGATTATTTGAAGGTACTTCCTAGAATTTATATGGAGGAATGGAAGAAAACGAAGTACATCACTGGTCTCTAATTACAATCTGAACCGATCATTTCCCGTATGTCACATCTGTGTCACCATGCTTGGTGAGCCACTTATTATAGAGGTGTATTGGTATATCAGTTTTCCTGGATATACGTATACCATTATCATTCATTGTATTCATCAAGGTATGTCATATTGTGACAAAAGTCACATTCTTCTGTGCCGTGTCATAAGAACTCCTTTGTTTATACCCATCTACACTTCACACACAAACACTTTAGTGCCTTCACAATTTAGTAGTCATTCATAACATTCTGTAAGAAATACTTTCACATTCCCTTCTTACTCCAGTCCTTTGCAAACTGTGCAGTGCTACATGAGTCAGGCTGTAGTAGTTTGTGAACAAAGCATTTGATGCATTTTAAATTTACAGAATGTGTTTTTTGCAATCATTTCAGTAGTTTTGCAGATTATAGACATTGTGTATGTATTTTATGCACAGACACATAACAGAAATAACGCTTAAAAGTTAAAACTCACAAGAAAAGCAAGTTTTAGTCTGCCATATATCTCCTGTAAAATCTTCCACATTGTGTTAAGTAACAGTGAACATCTTCATGCTCATTGGCAGTATGCTTAAAGTGGCTTCTCTTGGATCCGAAAGTGGGTTGCTGGCTGTTAGATCCTGATCATCCTCCTGGTCAGTTTGCTGATGCGGTTCATGCGTTGAGTCTTGGGCTGGTAAGATCCATATTTCATAAAGAAATTCAGCAGTTACAAATCCCAGTTACTGTTTTAGGTAACCTTAACTCTGCTACTTCTATTGAAAACACTAGTGCAATTTGCTTTCAGCTCAGTTGTTTCTGGGTATTTAAATTTTAAATGAGATATTTATTATGTTTTACTTTATTAGATTGGGTAGGGTCTTTTATGTTTTATTGTGTTCTGCTGTATTAGGAGGAGGAAAGGTAAAATAAACTTTTAAGACTTTTTCTAAGTGCAACACTTACGTTTCAAACAGTTTTACCCTCTATGAATGGAAAATTACCTGAGATTCAGTTAAAGAGTGGCAAGAGGAGGATTTTAAATATAATTTGTAGTATAGTCTTGCAAATGACTGATCATTACAATTTATCATTAAGTTTTTCATTGTCAAGAGTTGAGAAACACAGTTAATGATTTCATTTCTCAGGAAAAGCCCAGTGCATCCCCCAACATGAAAACTGTCGCATGTCATCAGCTGCAGCTACTCTCAAGTTTGACAGAGAAACTATACCAGCAACTGCTAAAACAGAAGTTGTGGAAGATTTTTGTGGATATGGAAATGAAGCTTTTGCCTATACTTGCAGGTTTGTTGGTGTACTGTACTTAATCCCAGTGTTCTAATCCAGACGGTATACTGTATGATCAGACAGGTTTGTTTAAATTACCATAGCAATACTGCTGCCTTGGAAAGACAGATGAGTTGAGATGATGGTGTAATATTGCCTTGTGCTCATTAGTGAGCCTCTGTGTTGGATCACAAAGTGTTAACTAAATTGTATAATTAGGCTGGGCTTGTGGGTGACCAGGAGAATGGTGTCTGGACTCTGTTGTCTCCTAACCTTTGGTTTTTGTTAGTCATATTCATATTGTCATCTTAGGATGACCCATGATCTAATTGACTATGGGAGAATATTCAGGTGGCATTACATTCTTGAATGTGTGATGATCATTAAAATATTGCAAAACTGTTTCCAAGTGATTCCATTTAAAAATAAGATGGTTGTAAAGATGTTAGTGCAGTTTATTCAAGGTGAAATACAATTTTAAATTTGGCATAGGTTCATAAATGCAACATGAAGTCTCTAGTGACTAAAATGCAGTAGAAGGTCTGAAGTGTTCATATGTCAAATCTTACTTCTTTGGAAATAATAATTTAGGGCAATTATGACCATGTTAGATGGGTCCCTTGTCACTACAGCATGGCACGTCCTCAGGTTGTGGATGGAGGAGAGCAACCAAATATGGAGAGTAGCTGTGAATAAATTAAATAATCAGTTGCAGACAGCTGGAAAGGAATGGCCCTCCAGCTTTGGGATCGGGCATGGGGCTAACAACTTCTCATCTTAAAAAATGAGCTTGTTATGAAATGTCATAAAGGACCTCACACCTGGATGGATTCTTTGGATAAATGAGCTATGCTAAAGAAAGTTTACACGAAATGTAGTACACTTAGATAATGAGATAGATATTAACCTTTATCGGACGAACGTCATCATATAATGTCGTTAAAAGTTAGGGCAGCTGAGCGAACAACATCATATGATGTCGCGGATTCCACGTGTGTAAGGTTTTTTTTTAAATTAAATTAAAAATATAAATTGTTGTTCTATTTACATGATTTTCGGTCACCACCTTTATAAGGAGACAGCCTTCCTTCCTGCATGATCTAATGTAATCTAGCGACGTCATATGACGTTAAAAGTAAGGCCAAATGGCCGAACGACATCATATGATGTCGCGCATTCCACGCGTGTAAAGATTTTTTTAAAATTAAATTTAAAATATAAGTTGTTCTATTTATATGATTTTTGGTCACAACCTTTATAAGATGACAGCCTTCCCTCCTGCGTGATCTAATGTAATCTACCAACGCCATATGGCCAAACGACCTCATATGATTTCACGCATTGCACGCATGTAAAGATTTTTTTTAAATTAAATTTAAAATTAAATTTTTGCTCTACTTACGTAATATATGTTCACCATCTTCATGAGGAAACAGCCTTCCCTCCTGCGTCATCTATGGTAATGTGGCCTTCGTATGGTACTGCCGAAAACATTCCGAAATGCAGAGTCCGACGTCGCACCTCATGCACTTCATACAAACACTAGACCGCTTCCCACGCGAAGAGCACACACGACACCTCAGTTGCGATTTAGAGGAAGCAGGCCAGTGATGTCGAGCTGCAGTGATATTTATCCCCGCAGCTACACCGGAATAATTATTCACACCTCTCCAGCCACACTGGTCTGGCGGTCCCCAAGTTGCCGACGAAGGTGATGACCCTTCGTCCGCGGAATCAGAACTCCAACTTTCCTCGCCACTCTCAGAATATATTGAATAGCAGTCCGAATCTGTGTCATTGAACAGCTGTTTCTCGATTTCAGCATCTTCCATACTACGTCGTGTGGTCATGGTGAACTATACGGCTCTCTAGCAGTGAATTTTTTACTGCCAGCACAAAATCTCTCTGTGCTTAGACCATGACCAGAAGCCATAAATCATAACCTCGCGCCCACACATACAAAAATCTCATTCACGTCTTGGCTGAACTCAATATCTTCTTCAAACATGCTAGATGATGTCATGGGAAGCTAACCTTATATTGCAATGTTTCAAAATCGTTACAAACACAATGGTTTGACTGCAATGGATGAACGAATGACCAATCTGGCAACACCATATTCCGAGAATGTACTCCTGTGTCTTTCTAACAGACATTACACAGCGAGCGATTTCAGATGCCCACAGTCCTGCATACCGACATGTCCCATACGATAAATAAGCTTCAACAAGAGATAGCGTTCATTATATGTGAGGTTGCCATGAAGGACTTACACTGCTAAAACACATGGTGCAGAAAATGTATGAATTTCGGGAATTTTTTTTTTTTTGGAATCAATGTAAAAAATTTTTACAGATATTAAAATCTGTAAATTAGAATATCTGATTCTATATTCTTGCTAGATTAAAGGAGCGTTCATTTCGTTTGTTTATCATAAAAAATGTAGAAATCACACCATTTTTAGAAACATGCTTACAATTTCATTGCTCTAGAAGGGCGGGCATTTAAATAAACTCCGTCCAGCTGCCCCTCCCAGAAATTAAATGGCCTGTCCAATAAAGGTTAATAAAGCTTAGGAAACTGTTAAAGATAACATCAAAATTTCAGCCAAAGATAGTCTAGGTTATTATGAATTGGAAAAACATAACACAAGTCAATACAAAGTATCTGTAGAACTGTGCCTCTGACTTTATCTATACCCATGTTGATGTCACTTTGAGCTATTTTAACATTGTGTTTACAAAAGAAGAGAGAACAGTTATAGAAATGGCCAAAGAAATACTAGCTGAGATAATAAGTATGCAGTTGCAACCAAAATTACCTGTGCATGGATAGCATAGTTTCAAAATTGTGCTGCATTTCTGAGATCAAGGAAAAAGAAATAAAGAATACTATAATGAGGGATTCTGTAAGCATCTTCTTGTAGTTTCTTGTATGAACACATTTTACATTTCTAATTCCATAAATATGGATGGATTTGATGTATATTTGAACATGCCTATCAAAAATCCTGATCCGTAAATATGGTTGTTGAGTTCAATTTGGCAAGAGATTCACAAAGACATGAAGCAAGTTGCATGCCATACCCAATGAGATATGTTTCAGTGTGACTTCTAAGTATCAATCTATCCCATCTCTGATGGGATACTGTTACACTTATTGCTGCCATCTGCAAATGGAATATTTTAATACCAGGAATAATTCTAATTTTTTTCAAACAACAACTCACTTGATGATGTTTCATAAAAGTCCCGCCTACGCAGGCATTAAGATATATAACCATCTTCCAGCTAACATTAAGGACTTGGCATGTGATATTAAAAGATTTAAAAAAGCATTAAAAATTATTTGCATGAGCATTTTTTTATACTGTGGATGAATTTTTTATGCATAAAACTAGATAAGTATTTCTGATATTAATAGTAACATCATTTTATCGATGGTTACAGTTTTATATTATTTTTATTTCTTTTCGACAAAATCTTTTAATGATTGCATGTCTTATTGTTATTAATATTGTACTGTCTTATATTCATTTTTGACTTTTCTATATCCAATGGTTGTATCAGTATGGATCCACAGAAATAAATAAAATAATAATAAGAACATCCCCACACGTGTGGCAGTCTGCATCATAATACATGTATGACCATGTTTATCTGTGTGTATGGTTCCCAGAAGAAAGGTAGCAGCAGTAGTGACTGCCATGCAAATTGCTGATTGCTTGCTGTGAAATGTTAGCATGGAAATGTCTGGGGCTTTTGCAATATGGCAGTCCTATTGAAAAGTATTGTGAGACAGCACTGTACATTGAGAAGTATGATAATTGGAATCAGTTAATTTGGGAAAGGCAAAGAATGTATGGCACTTTTTACACTCAAAATTTGCCGTTAAAAGTTAAACAGGCATTACTGTAGCTCCAAATTGTTTATTTATTTACTTTTTTGTTGTGTAGGCATACTAATTATTGAAATTTCTCTGGATTAGTTTGTTAAACATCTTGCTCTATTAAATTGCATAATTTATTGCATATCAAACAGAACAGGAAAAGTTCTTTTGTAAATAATGAAGTTCTTTATGATGTGGCATTTATTTTCAGTTATGGAACTTCGGGGTATCCTTGTTAATAAAGAAAGGCTGAAGGAAATGGAAAACGTTTTAGAGGTAAATAAAATAAGGAGAAAAATTTCTTTCTGTAGCTGTACATTAGATTGTTGAGAATCTAGTAATGTAAAAATGTTCAAGTTGGTAATAGTGATTCATTTGTTTTTGTTTTGTATTATAATAAAAAGTTTCTCCTCATCCAGTATGGCTGTTAAGTGATATGTAAGCACGACACAAAGAGAATCAACAGGTTATGGGCCCAGATTTGCTCAAAAACTAAAAACAGGGAAAGAAAGAAAAAAAAAGGAGAAGGCGGAAGAAGAATAACGAGAAAATGACATAAGATTTCCTTACAGAGAAGCTGTAGGAAGCCTGCTATATATGACTTCTAAAACCAGACCAGATATGGCATTCGCTGTAAATGTGGAAAGTCAAACCTTGGAAATAGCTGTTCAAAATGTGGAAAGGACTCTTAGGTATGTGAAAGGTAGATGAGATTCAGGAATAAAATATACCTCATCTGACTCCGAAACTGTGAAACTGGAAGCATTTAGTGACGCTGATTATGCAGGGGATGTAAAGGATAGGAAGAGTGTAACGGGATATGTAATTATGATGTCAGGGGGCCCAATATCATGGTGCTCTAGGAAACAGAGTTTTGTTGCATTATCAACCACTGAGGCCCGAATATATTGCAGCAGCTGAGTGATGTAAAGAATTGAAATATCTAAAGACGTTGATAGAGGAGCTGACAGGAAAAAGGGTGGAAGCTGAACTGTGTGCCGACAATCAGAGTGCAATCAAGCTAATAGAATCTGGGCAAGTAATGCGTAGGAGTAAGCACATAGATGTTAGGTATCACTACATAAGTAAACAATTGAAAGAGAAGCTGTTTTCAATCAAATACTGTAACACTGAAACTCAGGTGGCAGACATTTTAACAAAACCTCTATCATCAGAGAAATTTACCAAGTTTAGAGACATTATACTTAAGAAGAAATAAGTCTGATTTTGATAAGACTAAGAAAATTTTAATTACATGTACTAATTTTTAATCTGAAGTCCAAAATTACTAAGTGTTATTCAGTTTAACTTTGTAAAACAGCTAATAATGTTGATAACATTTTGAAATTAAGGAGGAGAATGAGAAATGTGTTTGTAACATTTTGAAATTAAGGAGGAATGTTGAGAATCTTAGTAATGTAAAAATGTTCAAGTTGGTAATAGTTGTCTACGAGGGGGGACCCAAAAATAACCGGAATTTATTTTTGTTATTTTTTATTTTTGCATTTTTATTGAACTGTATATTAGTCCCCTTCAAAGTATTGTCCATGTGCATTAATGCACTTGTCCCAACGCTTTTGCCACTGCTCAAAACAGTGCTGGAATTCTTGAGGCTGGATACTGTTCAAAGCCTTTAGCGTGTTTTCTTTGACTTCATCCACATCACGGAATCGCTTTCTTTTCAGACTTCTCTTCAGCCGTGGAAACAAAAAAAATTCCGACAGAGCCAGGTCGGGTGAGTAGGGTGGATGAGGCACAATCACCATGTTGTTGCTTGTCAAAAACTGTCAGACCATCAAAGCTGTGTAGGCTGGAGCATTGTCGTGGTGAAGCAACCAGTTCCCATTTCTCCACATCTCGGACTGTTTTC